GAACTCCTGAGCTCAAACAATCCGCCCGCCTCGGCCTCCCAGAGTGCTAGGATTACAGGCGTGAGCCACCGCACCCGGCCTATCTGAACATTTGAACATACATATACCACACATGCTTCTCTGCTGCCTGAGGGCCCCTCAGACAAAGACAAAAGGATGAAACTTCCAATGTTGGAAATGCTTAAATGTCAGTTCAATGCCATCAACAGGAATGAATAAGTATCATCCTGTACTACCTTGACTATAACTGGTAATTGAATATAACAGGGAGATGATTATAAGGGGTACCTTGATGGGTACTTATACCTGGATAGGGTCCAGGGTTTGCCTAGAAAGTCAATTTAGTCTTCAGCCAGTGATGTTCAGATTCTGAGGCCTGGATCGTACTAACTGGACTCACCAGAAGCTGACAGATATCCATAATTCCAAGGCTGCACATAAATTTATGGTGTGTAATGTAGTTGTCAGGCACTGCTGTTGTCTGCTCAGAAACACATTTCTCTGCTTGCAGAGTCTACATGGGAAGTTGGATTGTACTCCCAGGGTTGCAAGACATGGAACGAGGGTCAAGAGAGCTTGTAGTCTAAATGTGTATATCATGTAATGGTGGCTCTGAATAAACTATGTGAAACAAAATATTTCGAAATCAGCATGTTAAAAAATACTTCGTATATTGATTATGTTTACCTATCCTCAAGTACTTTTTTAGTCTTTGTATATTACTATAGTAACTTTGTGTACTTCCTAACTTATTTGCTTTTTAATTTGTTAACTTGATTTCTGCACAGTTCCTGAAAAATCATCAAGGTTGAACATGTTTTCCCCACAGCTTCAATTCTAATGGCAGAAATTGGACTAAATGGTGGCAATGTAACATCACAGAGCATCAGAGTTATGTTTTAACTAAGTAAAAGCCTCTTAAATATGAAATAAATAGGTTATTTTTAAGTGATGGAGGCATAGCTAATTAAGTAAACTAAGTGTCACTAACTGAAAACGAATTGACATTTTAAAGAAAGCAAAATAACTTAAAAAGGAAACAAAGTGCTTTTTTAAAAAAGTTTAAAAGTTGTGAAATCACTCCATGGGAGTACAAAAACTACCTGTGTGTGAACTAATAGATGAAAAATAGTCCTTTTCACTCATACTCATTGCAGCACTATTCACAATAGCCAAAATATGGAATCAACCTAAGTGTCCATCAACAGATGAATGGGTAAAGAAAACGTGGTACATAGACACACAATGGGATACTATTCAGCCATAAAAAAGAATGAAATCCTGTCATGTTCCATCAGTACATTGATGGAACTGGATTATATTAGCTTAAATGAAATAATCCAGACACAGAAAGACAAATATCGCATGTTCTCACTCATATGTGGGAGCTACAAAATTTGATCTCGTGAAAATAGAGAGTAGGATGATGGTTACCAGAGACTGGGAGGGGTAGTGGGGAGGGGGCATGCAGAGGGGATGGCTAATGGATGCAAAAACACAATTAGTTAGAAGGAGTAAGATCTAGAGTCCAGTAGCACAATAGGGTGACTACAGTTAATAATAATTTATTGTATATTTCAGAATAACTAGAAGAGTGAAGTTGGAATGTTCCAAACACAAAGAAATGATAAATGTTTAAGGTGATGGATATCCCAGTTACTCCAATCTGATCATTACACATTGTATGCTTGTATCAAAATGTCATGTTTGCCATAAATATGTGCAACTATTATGTTAAAAATCAAAAACAAAACATTTTTTTAAAAAGAAAAATATTCCTCTTCAACCAATTTGTTTTAGAATAACCAATTTTCTTAAAGCCTGAGATAAAAAAATGAAATAAAATAAAATTCATTAAAATATTGCCAGATAAGCATGTCATACTTAATTGCTCAAAACTAAATTTTAAAAAAATATTGTAATCTGAAAAATCTGTTATAAATTCCAAAGCATTCATGAAAACTACAGACAGCTCTTTTATAAACAAAAATTTATCCTCAAACCCCAATTCATTCTCAAGAGATTAATGAAGGTTTAAATATGCATAAAAATTCTAAAACTTCACTATATACTTGGTATACAATATATGGGAATCCTTGTGAAATATTTATCTTTGACCTTGCTGAAGCTTGTGACTCCCCTTACAATACGGAATTGTGGAATCTAATTTTTAAAACCAAGTAAAAATACACTCTTCTAAATTTTTTGGTTGAAATTTCGCCATAAGTAATTCTAGAGAAACACAGGCTTTTCTAAGAAAGGAACATGTAGTACTGACTTTCAGTGTTTGTAAAAGGTTAAAATCCAGTACTACCTCAATTTCTTTTTATGGATGTGCCTCCAGAATATCTTTTAAAAATATATTGCCAGAATATGTTATATGAAGTGTTAGAAATCTCCATACTTAATGTTTAAATAGTCATTTTTCAAAAAAAATTTTCTTCATGTAATGGACAGCTACTTGACCTTCCATCTTTATTAAGTGGCTGTTTGTTAAACCTCACTTTAATATTCATATACCTTTCTCTGAACTAACACAGTCTTGGTGTGGGTTTTGTGATACTGTCACTGAAGACTTTGAAGACTTCCATACTTTATAAATTGCTGGCATTAATTTATTCCAAATATCAGAGGAAGTGAAGCCAAAGGCTAGATTCTGTAGAACTGGAACTCCCATACCTGTAGTCCATGGAATGATTTGGTCTACCGCTGCTTGCCACAGGGCAATCCATCTAAGAAACAGAGAGATGAATTAAAGCATCCTTTTAAATAGACCTGTTTATCTAAATCGTTTTCCAAAAAGGCCTTCTAAAATCTGGAAAGGCCAGTACCTCATTAATCAAATGTTTAGTTGATAGCAGGAGTGGAGTGGGCTCAGTTGAGTCTTGGCAGGATCTACAACAGGTGTGTCTATGCTATAATTATGATTTAATTGTGGCCACCTGATTTATTGAGTGCCAGCTCTTCAGAGAGCAAAAGATGAACTGCTTCCATTGTCCCTGGGAAACACACTTTTTTTTTTTATTTCAGCATATTATGGGGGTACAGATGTTTATGTTACATATGTTGCCCTTCCCCCTCCCCAAGTCTGAGCTTCAAGCGTGTCCATCCCCCAGATGGTGCGCATCGCACTCTTTGAGACACACATTTTTGTTAGGTCATCTGTGAGAATGCAAAATGGGCGTTAAAGGCTTTGGTCCTCCCTGCATTTCAAGGTCTTTACTAAGGAGTTCCCGCTCCCCCCACCAAGTGCCCCTCAAGAAAACTTACTTTCTCCCCCTCTGAGCATCCCCACTTTCACCCCTCTTCTATCCCAGCCGCCTCTGTTCCAACTTCCCTCAACGTTGAGGTAAATGTCTTGAAGCCAAATCACTAGATCTTTACCTGGAAGAATGTGGAGCCTCCACTGCTTCCCAGAAGAATCACAGATACTAAAGGCCTTAGGATGCAAAGACCTTAATTTTTGTGGTTGGTTGGTGTTGATTGGAAGAGAGAGGTGGAAAGACGCCAGAGGGGGCTGTTGTCCTAGTGATTAGCTATCTTGAGCATCCAGCTGGAAGACCGACTACTGGATTTTACTTCCAAGATTAGGAAGGGAGTCCCAGGGGCACGATGAGGCCAGATACAGTGCCCGGTCACCAGTGCTGTGAGTGTTTCTATGGTGAAGCGACAGAGTCATGGGGGCCCCGGTAGTACCTGTAGTGGCCGACCTGCCACTACATAATTTCCTGCCAGTATCTGGCTTTATGTGGTTGGGTAGAGGTAGTGAGGGAGTTAAGCTGTGCCTGATGGTCTATATAGCTTGTTTAAAATAATTGACTAATTAAGGCTAAGAAAACTGAAAAAATAATAGGATATTCTGGAGATCAAAGAGGATTAGTTGAATTTAGTTAAAGGTGGGACCGTTATGTTGCCAATGACAGTAATGAAATCTCTTATATTCACAGTGGATTGAACATTTCCACCTGAACTGCTGCTTTCTGATTGGGAGGGGTAGGTAGTTAAGACTCTAGCAGTTGCACATGTTGTCACATGTCTTTCCTTCTGCCAGGAAGTCATTGTTTCTGTCTTCCTTCTGTCACCAGGTGTTGGACTGGATTGAAAACCATGGCGAGGCCTTTCTCAGCAAACACACTGGGGTTGGGAAGTCCCTACATCGAGCCCGGGCCCTGCAGAAGAGGCACGATGACTTTGAAGAGGTGGCTCAGGTGAGATGCCGTGTTTGGGGCTGTGTGTATAGCCAGGTGAGGAAGACCAGGGCTGTGGCTTTGGTGTTTGGTGGGGTGTGCTGCGTTGACATCCTGTGGCTTGCTGGGCTGCCTTCCTGCCCGATGCGAAGAGACCTTTGTCTTTTCTGGGATCACTAAGTGAGTGGTAAATAGACCCCCCAAGTTTCTGGTCTTCAAAGAAAAAGCTTCTGCTAATGTGATCCAAGATGCCTTGTCCACAAGGTGGAGCTGGAGGGAGGATTATTAGATCTGCATTAACCCAGGGCTACTGCTTGTGGTTGTCACTGCCTGTGAGTAGGAGTGGAAAATCAGCCCCAGCTCTGCTTGCAAAGCTGTGCCTTCAGGACCTAGAGAAAGAGATGGCACCTGTCCATCAGCCATGCAACCACAGGGCTGAGTGTGCCTTGCTGTCACTTGTACAATATTTAGTCTGCCGTTTATACAATATTTAGTTGTTTTATTGAGCACACCTGATCCAAAAAGGGCACTGTTTTCTAACTTGACAAAGATGCTGTATGAGAAGTCCCGACCATTTGTCTAATAGTGTAATGGTCTAAAAGTGTTTCTGTTCAGAGCCTTCACCTCAAAAATTTTATACTAATTCTGTTAGATTTCTCTATTGGGGAGTTTTTCAAATGGGTCCTGAAAATCTTTACCTTCAAGATGAATTGCTGCCATCCAGTTATTTTGGATGGAAGATAAAACCATGAAGAATAAGGCAGGGGAGGGTGTCCATATGGGTCTGAGGGGTGGGCAAGGATAAAAAAAAAAGCTAGGTTTTGCCACAACACAGCTTTAGCCAGGCTGGCTCCCATCCCACTATGCTGGCAGCCCTCCATGTGGGTGCCACCCTGGGCATTCTGAAGAGCCCAGCCCCCACCCAGGCAGGTGCTTGCTGTGGGTACATGAAGAGAGGGCCTGTGAAGAACCAAGCAAGAACAGGAAGATCGTGGAGTACTGCTGCATGTCTAGGGGAGCTGCAAGTACATCCTGAAAAGTGAGAGGCCTTAGAGAAGCCAGAAAGACCATGTCAGTGGTGACCTGAACCCAGGGAATGTGGGTGGATTGGATCCAACCTGTGGGATAAAGAAAGCCTCATATGGAAAGCCTTGTTCACTGTTGATGAGAATGTAAAACGGTGTAGCCACTGTGGAAAACAGTACAGGGGGTCTTCAAAAATTTTAAAATAGAATTGCCACAACATCCAGCAATTCTACTTCAGGATATAGTCCCCAAAGAATTGAAAGCAGGGACTCAAACAGATATATTTGTACACTCATGTTCACGATAGTCAAAAGGTAAAAGCAACCCCAGTGTCCGTTGACAGATAGATACATGGATAAACAAAATGTGGTGTATTCATGCAATGGAATATTATTCAGCCTTAAAAAGGGAGGAGATTCTAATATATGCTACAATATGGATGAAACTTGAAGACATTATGCTAAGCAAAATAAGCCATTCACAAAAGGACAAATATTGTATTATATGATTCCACTTATACTAGAGTACCTGGAGTATCCAAGTCCATAGAGACAGAATGTAGAAGGGTGATTGTCAGGGGCTGGAAGGAGGAGGGAACAGGCAGTTATTGTTTAATGGGTATAGAGCTTCAGTTTTGCAAGATGAAGAGTTTTAGAGATGGATGGTGGTGATGGTGGTGTAATGATCTGAAACTGTTTCTGTGTTCAGTGTTGCACAACACCGTGGATGTGCATAATGCCACTGAACTGCACACTTAAAAATGGTTAAGTTTTATGTTGTATGTATTTTACCACAATAAAAAGAAAATAAAGCCTCATAGTCACATGAGGACCTTCTGCAGAATGAGCTGGACTTTACTAACGTAGACACAGGTCCCAATATGCCTTCTGATGGACAAGATGTAGCACAGTACCAAAATGTCTGGGTGGCCTCGCATCCTGGGTGCCTCTCCAGTTTGTTAGGGGGCAAAGGACGGGGAGGGCCACATGCATCCCCCGACTGCTGAGAGCGGGGGTTGTGGTAGCTGCAGTGGTCTGTTGGAGGGGAGATATCCCATAGCTTTGTTGTGTCTACCTCCGGGCTGTCCTGTAGCTCAGCCCCTCCTCACTTAGGATGGATGTCCCAAAGCCACCCACAGCCCTGACCCAGCTCACTTCCCCTTGCTTTCTACCTGATGTCACCTCAAAGGCAATGCCATCCTTAGTTGTAGGCTGGAGTTTGTGTGTTGTTACAACAAGCAAGCTTCATGGTCGTCCTAACCCTATTTCTCCTGACTGCTCCTCCACCTTCTTGCTGATGTCTGATGTGTCTTTCACATGGGACAATGCCCTTCCATCAGCAGTGGGGACACACTAACTTAAATTAATACTAAAGAAAGAATGGACACATATTTGAGAGTGTGGTTCCATTACATATTTTGTCTCATACCAACCCTGAACGGTAAGTAGTATTACCCTCGTTCTATGGAAGACAGCACTGAGGCTCAGATTCTTCAGTGGGCCCAAGTCACTCAGCTTGCCAGTGGCTCTGCTGGGATTCAAACCCAGGTACATCAGACTCCAGAGTTATGTTTTTATCCTAATTCCATGCTGTCCCTCCTTATTGGGGTATAGGAACTGGTTGTAAAATTTATTTGAGTGCCCCTTTGCTCGTGTAAAGTGCAGGACAAAGAGCAAGAATGGGGGAGTGGCATCGCCACTGCAGCTGTCCTATCTCAAATCCATCACAGCTTTTCTCTGGCCCTGCCCGTGGGTAATCCACTGACATAATCCACACCTCCCGACTCTGCTTTCTGATAAGACTGTATCTTTCTGAGAAAGGAGAGAGAGTTCTAATGTCCAAAAGGTTCATGCATTTAGGAGGAATGGTTGCTCTGGAAAGGAGAGCAGCAGATGTGGACTATAAGGGAACACTTAAGCTAGGGGTCCTGAGCCACTGCATGGCCCTGTAAATAGGCCTCTAGAGATGGATTCTATGGTCTGAAAGTTAATCCTGTGTCATTCCCTTCTCACCACTCTGTGGAAGGGCGTGGACAGTGGAGCTGCCCAGCGTCCTATGTGTGTACCCGGAATTGTACTAGGAATTGTGTGTACTAGGAATTGTTAGTCCACATAGGAAAACCGACTGTGACCACAGTGAAGGCAAGTCGACTATCAGTGGCAGCCTGCCCGAGACCTGCTTTGTTCTGCACAATGTGATCGCCACGTTCAGGGGTGAGAACGGGGGGATCCAGGCAGGAAAGGAAAGGGCCCTTCTTTCTCTCTTGCTTGCTTTCGATTAGGTGAGGGCCACTGGGAGAAGAAGAGTGGATTTAATCCGGAATCAGAAAATTCTTGAGTTAAAAGAGCAACGACAGAAAGCTTGGAAACTCTTGTGCTTTATTTGTTGTTTGGGGTTGCTGTTTGTGAGATATGGTCAGGGAGGGTGCCGCACGTGTTGTGGAGTAGGAGGCTGGGAGGTCGCTTACAAGCAGTGCTCCAGACGGCCATAATTGAGTGAGAGAACCCCTTTCAACCTTATCATTTTATAGTTCTTTCACCTGAGGCTGATATGAGACGGGAATTCTGAGCACCCATTCTCTGTATTCAGGTCCAAAAAATCATCTTGAATCAAAGCAAAATGAGAGCTCTTGGGTCTGTTACAGCTCCTGGAAATTTGCCCTTCTGCAGGGAAGAGCAAGCCCTGGAGCAGAGAAGATGGCTGCCCACGGGGAGAGGCTGAGGCAGTGTAAAGCCCATGAACAAATACGATTCCACTCTGGGAATAGGGATGGGGGTCGGGGGTACCTGTGATTCTCACCATTGGTCATTCTTTGTGGTAAAGACATTAAGGAAGCTATTAAAGCAGCATAAATGGTATCCGTGAAAAATTAATGTAGCAATCTGTCATTAAACTTTAAGTTTTGTGTTTAATAGCTCTTGAACAAATTTTAAACAAATTCTTCAAATATCATTTGAAGGAGATGAAATAAGTATTTGAGTCCTCCATTCATCCTGCAGATGGCACTCTTTGGATAGCCAACATGGAAGCAGAGCTGACTGGGGAAAGGCACCACAGGCATGACAGTTTCCCTGGGGAGGACCCTGACGTTCAGGGGTGAGGGTCCAGGGAAGGGGGTACACCCGGGGATTCGTGTCTACAGGTCTTTCTAGTCCAAGCTACTGAGGTTGCGCATGCTCGAATAGAAGACCTGGGCACTGATGGGAATCCCTCCCATCCTTAAATCAAATACTTGACTCAGGCTGCCTATAATCTCACCAAATGACTCAGGCCGTAGGGTAGAACAGGTTTTAAGAGACACTTATACTTTTTGTGGCCATTAGATGTCATTGGGAGTATAAACAAATATTAGATGGAGTTGCTGCCCATAATAGCATAGCTGACAGGGGATAGATGTGTCCATACCTGCCAGGTGGTGGAATAGGACATGGTACTGTTCTGTTGTCCTGGGATATTTGCTATTACTTGGTAGGACAGTATGCAAGTGCCTGTGATTTAGATAGCAGCTGTGCCTGCTCTGTTAGTGGTCTGCTTCATGGCCTCATCATCTGAAATGCCAGATTTTCTGTAAGCTAACTTAGTCAAAAATTAGCAAGCATTCACATTCAAATATACATTGTCTAAAGTCTCAAAGCACCAAATCACATTTAAGCAGCTAAGCATATTAAGTACATTAGTGTAACATTTTTGAAAAAAAAAACAGATGATTGAAAGAAAAACTTAAAGAAACATAAAAACTATTAAGCACTTCAATAATCTCTGGTTAGTTGTTTCCCTAACTGTCCCTTGTTTTTTTCTCAAACTTGACAAGAACACACTTTTTAAAAAATCATTCTGAGTCTCAGGGTGAAAATAGGTGAAAATAGAGGGAAAGCATTTGGTGGATCCATCAGTGACCTTGCCCACCAAAGATACTGAAGCAATCAGCAAACCTGCCACAGCACTAAGGGCAAATAGAATAGGGTAGGTAACTTAGAGACATGGAAAGTCTATGC